CATCTCATTTCATCCTCATGGCGTGTCACCATTCCCACTGTACAGATGGGGAAACTGAGGCTTAGAGATCCAAAAGCCGGTGAGTAATAGAGCTGGGATTGGACTTCTGCTCTGATCTCAGAGTCTGACCTCAGCCATGAAACCGAGGTTCTCACAGGGCAGCCTGGGACCATTTTATCAAGCATTTCCCAGGCTTGACAAAGAGGCTGCACCCAGGGTCCTGCTCACACTTCCTGAATCAGAACCTTGAGAAATGGGGCTCAGGACCTGCCACTGGGGAGTTTTCCAGGGGTTCTGATGCACTTGAAATTAGAAAGCCCTGCAGTGTGCTGCACTGTCCACCTAGTGGGGAGAAGGGGGTGCCCATGGAGCTGAGATAAGAGGGCCCAGGTGGCAGCGTTCTCTGAGTGACATGCTAAGGGCTTGGGACTTCTTCTGTGAGAAGGGTGCTCTGTGGAGAGTTCCCCCAACTCTTCCCCATATACTGCCTGTATTAGCTGGGGCTTAACCACTTGGCTACCTAGCCCCAGGTCTGAGCAGTCCGGCCCACAGGAGATTTCTTTTCTTTTCTTTTTTGTACCAGAAATCGAACTCAGGACCTTGCACTTGCTAAGCAGGTGCTTGTGCAGCTGAGCTGTATCCCTGGCCCCCAGAGGAGATTTCTCACAGGAAGCCCAGGACAATGTTTCTGTTGCTAAGACTGGGCCCACCTAGTCCTGAGAACAACCTCCTTAATCCCCGAAGCCCTGCCCCACAGCCCCTCTGCCCATCCCTCACTTTGGACCTCACTTTGACCTGCCACACCCCGACACTGCCCTTCTCCTGGCACTAGCCCTGAGGTGCTCTCACTGCGGTTAGTGGCGGCAGCCTCCTGGGTGGGCGTTGGGTGGGATCGCCACCTCATGAGATAGGATTAGAAATAAAGGAAGCTTGTGGCCAGGTGCTGAGTGCCCTATAACAAGCCAACCAGCCTTTCTGACTCACAGGGAAGCAGCAGGCGGCCTCTGGGCCAGCATGAAGCAGGAAGGTCCCTCCTGGCCTGGAACTGTGAACCGGTGCGGGCAAGAGAAGGCTTCTATGATCTGCCTGCCATACACCCATCCATAGACTCCACAACTACCCCTGGCCCTAGCACTGCCCCAGGAACAGTACGGGAAGGAGACAAAGTCCTTTCCGGACCTAGAAGAGCCTTTGTCCAATGGGAACCTGGGAGAGCAGGCGGAGTCTGCCCAGGTGGGGAAGGCCATGCGGGCCACTGCAAACTAAACGGCCTCCCCTCCTCCAGAGCCACCTGCCTGGCTGTGTGTGGCCCTGGGACCCTCCCTGCACCCGGTCTCAGTGACATCTCCAGGTCAGGAGTGAAGGCGGCCCCAGGCCTGTGGAGCTAACAGAGGCAGCAGCTCCCACGGCAGCCGGAGCCGCCCGAATCTCTGCGTCCACCACCCAGAGCTCCCTTCCACCTCCTCATGCCTCCTCCTCTCCTGTCCTCCAGGAAGAGGAAGCACAGACGGACGAGCGCTCTGCCTGTTTGGTGATGGCTGATCCCAACGGCAAGTTCTGTTCCTGCGCCATCTGGCTTCCTCGGTGAACTTTCTACTGAACCCCTTCCAGCCTCGTGGGCAGCTCTCCTGCCAGGAGGAGCTGTTGCCAGCGAGAACAGAATAATTGCCGCGCATGTTGTGCATGCAGAGCCTTCATTAACACATCCCCGGAGTGGCATTTGCAGCCCTCTGTCACAGCAGCCCGCCGCTGAATAGCACGTAATTCATCACCCTCAGATTCTCCACTGTCCTGAAAGATCCAATTAGCCCCACGTTTCTGTGAGTTGCACTTGGCTCACTGGAAAGTCCTCGTGGGTGCTGCGGTTATTTACAGAGAGGGTTTTCTCCATTGTCCAGCTCGCTCCGTGCCTCATCCAAGTGACCAGGCCTCCTCGCTTTCCTTTCATCCTATCTTTAGCCCAAGAAGGCAATGCTTCTGATTCAAGGAGGCTATAGGGCCAGCAGGGAATGCGGCAAAGTCAGACCTGGTTGCAGCAATGGCTCCGCTAATGCTTAGGTGTGTGACACTGAGAAGAACAACACATTTCCGAGTGTCATGTCTTCATTTACAAAATAAGGCCCTAGCACTACCACACAGGTGCACCAAATCTTAGCAGTCATCTAGTCTACCGTCATTTCACAGATAGGTAAACTGAGGCCCAGAGTGGCCATTCAACTCACCCCTGGTCATGTAGCTAGCTGGTGTTAAGACTTAGGACCTCGCTTCAAGCTTTCTGGATTGGGGTGAGATTGGATGAGTGAGGAAAGTGTTCGGGTCAAAGACACAGTGAGCAGAGCCCCCCCTGTCCGTGTAGTGAGTGGCTAGGGATGATTTCCTTCCCTTCACAGATTCTACGCCTTAGAGCAGTTGTTCTCTCCGAGGAGAGATTTTGCCCCTCCGGGGACATTTTTTGGTTGTTATAGCTGCAGCAGGATGGGAAAGGGAGAGAGGGAAATTCTACCTCACCTAACCCATGACCCAATATTAATCCACTCTTTTTTTTTTTTTGTTTTTTTGAGACAGGGTCTCGCTATGTAGTTCAGGCTGGCCTTGAGCTCACTTTGTAGCCCAGGCTGGTCTCAAACTCGCAAGGATCCTCCTGCCTCAGCCTCCTGAGTGCTGGGATTACAGGCGTGCCCCACCACGCCCAGCAATTTTTTTTTTTTTTTTTTTTTTTTTTTTTGCAGTGCTAGGGATCTAACTCAGGACCTTGCACTTGCCAGGCAGGCGCTTATGCCACTGAGCTATATCCCCAGCCCCTAATCCACTCTTGAGAGTTGAGCCCCCATGACCAAACCCCTGACCCTAGTCTCCCTCTCCAAGGTTCCACCACTCAACACTGCCACACTGGGGTTCCAGGCTGTGGACACCTGGGGGACCAAGACACCCAAACAGCAGGATGGACACATATGCAAATTTTCTGATTCCTCCAAACCCATGGATGCATGACCGATCCCTTTCTACAAACATGAACAATGAGGTTTCACAAGACACCATATCTTGCCCAGGCCCACGCAGCTAGTAAGAGGAGGAACTAGGGTTTAATTCAGGGCTGCCTGGTTCTACAACTGTGTGCATGCCATCGAAGTTTCTCAAGCTCAGTGGAATCCACCTGGCCCTGCCCTCCTCTGTTTCTGCAGTGACAGGGAGCAGGTGGGCGCTCTAGTACCTGCTGTCCGGTTGGCCCAAGGTGAGACAAAGGGAGGACACAGAGCCCAGCCCAGCTCCTCAGCCATGGGAACTTCTGTTGGGCAAGCTAAGCTACTGGGGAGTGTTACGGACAATGGACACCGACAATCCAAGGTGCAATCGCAGGTCACAGGAGGCCGAGCATTCCTGGGCCTGTGGGCTGTTCGCATCTGGAAGACTCGTCCTTAAGAGCTTCCCAATGCCTTGTGCTAAGTGTATTACGTAGAAGGTGGGTGATGGGTGACTCCCCGCAGACGTCTCTCCCTGGAGGGATGGCGTCCCCCGTCTTCTAGGCAGCGGGCTGGGCACTGGCTGGGCAGAGCAGGGTAGGACCAAATGAGGTCTGCCAGGAGGACAGGGCTCTCATTCCCACACCATCCCTTGCTTCTCAGCTAGGCTCAGCCCTGCTCTCCAGGGTTCTGAAGTCACTCTCCTATCCTTCGGGATACTCTCTTGCTTCCCGGTGAAGCAGGCAGAATGAAGGCGCCTGTTCAGGTCTAGCTTTGTCGCAAGTCCAGTTCTGCCAGTGAAATGATCTTGCGCAACTTGCTTGCCTTCTCAGAGCCTTGCTTCTCCACCTATAGAACGAGAAGGGTAATACCCAACCATGAAGGGTTAAACGTTCAACAGACCACTTGTTGTGGGAGCTCAAAATCTCTCCCCTTCTTTCTGGCAGACGTTGGCAGACGATGGGAGGATGCTTGGAAACCATGTGGGAGAGGACAATGGCTCGGAACGGGGATGTGGGAGGGGCGGGCAAGGCACGGCCGTGCCCTGGCCTGTGTTTTCCCACCTGGAGGCCTGGCAGGAGGACTCTTCCCTTCCAGGCGCTGGCAGCCAGGCTCAAACACATTCAGTCATTTGTGCTGATTAAACCTGCTGTTCAAACCCACAGTGTGGGCTCAGAATGAGCGATATTCACTAGGAAGCAGAGCTTGGTGGTCAGAAGGCTCTGTCTGCCTGAAAGTCCCAGGCTCTATCTGCCTAGGACACGGGGTTCACCACCATGCGGCCTTGAGCAAGCAGCTCCACTGGAGCCTCAGTTTCCTCCTTTGTAAAACAAAGATGTTAGCATCTTATTGGCTGCCCGGATGCTTAGACCTTGCATGGGCGGTGCTGGCTCAGAGTCCAGCCAGTAGGACGTGCTTGCGATATCAGTCCTAACCACACACGGTGCTGCAGACAAGCTCATGGAAAGAATGTGGCTGATTTTCCTCACAGCTGAGTGTGAGCCAGCTGGGAAGCCTCCCGGGCTGAGCAAGGGTGGCCCAGGTGTCTGAGCGCTGCGTTCCAGCGACAGTCCCCCTTGGCGGGAACTTCCAAGTGAGAGGGAGAGACTGCCCAGGCAGGCTGGGGAGGCATCCCAGGAGGTCAGCCCCAAGGCCTGCAAGGTGCCCCTCACCTGAAGCTGCCACACTGAGGGAGAAGAAGTTCTGACGGTGGAAACGGACTGATGGGCTCCTCGCCCCACCTCAGGTCCTGCATGAGCTGCTGAAGGCTGAATTCTAGTTCCTTCCACCAGAACACCTAGGAACAAACCTCTAAAACTGTGGCGGCTTCTGCCTGCTCCTGGGGAGGCATCACCTGGAGGGACGGGTGCTCAGCTGAGCCTGTGGACCCTGCTCTAGCCTGGAGTCTCGCCGCTGTGACTTTCAGGAGACAGCGCCTGGATTCTTCAGCTCAGGGACCTGCAGGGGCGAGCTGACCTCATGCAGGGTCCTCAGACCCCAGGCTGGGAAGGAGTCTAGGGGGACTCATGGTGCAAGGAGATGGGGACAGGTACATGAACAAAGCAGACAAATCCCTGAACAGCTGAAGAGCCTCGTAAGGGCACAAAACCACCCAGGAGGCTAAGGGCCCTGCTACTGAACTAGTAGCTATATGACCACTGGCGGGGCCCTTAGCCTCTCTATGCTTCCGTTTCCTCATCTACAAAGGCACAGATGACAGTACTGTCCTCCTGCTGACCTGTGAGTTTGCTTTCCACAGTTTCGGTTATCTAAGGTCATCTGTGACCCCCAAACATTAGATTAAAAAAAAAAATCCAGAAATAAATGTCATAAGTCTTAAAATAACTGTTATTATGGTATGCTGCTATACTTGTCCTATTTACTATCAATTGTTGTTGTTAATCTTTTACTGTGTTTGGTTTGTAAATTAAATTTTATTAGCTGTGGTGCATACCTGTAATCTCAGCACTCTGGGAGGCTGAAGCAGGAGGATCACAAGTTTGAGCTCAGCCTGGACAGTTTAGTGATTTAGCTGGAACTTTTCTCGAAAATTTAAAAAAAAATTTTAAATGGCTGGGAATAGCTGAGAGTGGTGACATATGCCTGTAATCCCAGTACTCAGGAAGCTGAGGCAGGAGAATTGTTGTGAGTTTGAGCACTCTGTGCTACAAAGTGAGTTCAGGACTAGCCTGAACTACATAGTGAGACCTTGCTTTAAAAAAAAAGACAAGAAGGGCTGGGAATGTAGCTCAGTGTAAAGGCCTTGAGTTCAATTCCCAGCCCCACTCCCAATTTTTAAATCTGGGGTATGTCTGTACAGGGAAAATAGTATATACAGCTTGTTACTATTTGCAGCTCCAGGCACCCACTGGGGGTCTCGGAAGGTGTCCCATGAAGACAGGTGGGACTGCTGAACTTGCCCCATGGGGTAATTTTGTGAGAATGGACTGAGTTAACATGAGAAAGCCGCTTAGGATGCGGCTGGCTTGCAGCACTTCCGTCCTCTGTTAGTTCCGGAGAAAGAGAGTGGAGCGATCAGGAAGAAACAAAACAGGATGGTCGGTGCTGAGGGGGCTGTTAGTGAGGTCAGTGAAGAATCCTAACGGATGTGATGCTTAGACCCAGCCTTGAAATCTGAGCCGCTGGCAGTGGGTGGAGAAGCAAAGGCCAGAAGCTGTGACAGGAGCTGACACACGGGGGTGACAGGAAATGGTGTAGATTCTCCAAAGCGATGACATCAGGAGAGAGGTGTGTTGGGCACAGACGCCCATCCTGGAGGGTCTCGGAGGCCAGGAGGAGCCGCAGAAGGCAGCAGGGGCCCAGGGAGGGTGGATGCAAGGGGCGAGGTTACAGGCAGAAGGACCGGTTTGGACAGGAAGCGGTGGCCGGAGTCCACGCCAGAGACCAGAGATGATGACCAGGTTGGCCTGGGCAGCAGAAACAGGCCTCAGCGGCTGCCCAGTGCAGCTGTGAGGGACAGGAAGTTCCCTGAACCCTGCTCAGTTCTGGCTGGCGGGACCCAACTGACGGTGAGCTCTGTTATTTTCAAGCCAGTACCAGGGTAAGGGAAGAGGGTTAGCAGTTCAGACTATGCATTCAGCACCCACAGATTCACAGGGCCAGGCATGATGCAAAAGCAAAACGTCAAAACGTCCCTGAGGTGGGTGGGAAACTCTCCTCTGAACAGGAAACCGAGGTTCCGAGGACGTCAGCAACGCCCAAGTTCACAGCCAAGACGGGCCCGCTCCTCACCTCTGGCTTTCGATTCTTCACTTCCACATCCACCTATGTTCAGCGGCCCCCACACAGACCGAACCTGCGGGAAGCTGGCTGGGTGCCTCAGCCCTGAGCCAGGCCTGACAGACACTCGGCCTCTGAATCAGGTGACACAAGCCAATGCTGCCTCACGTGACCTATAGATAGTCTCATTTTTGCTTATTTTAACTAAGCCAAGAACTTCCAAGAAGCATCATCATTCCTCTGCAGTTTGTTCAGGGGTGTGTCACGGCCTGGCTAGTGAGCCTGAGAGCAGAAAGGAAATGGGCTGGTCCGGACCCCAGCACATCTGTCCCCAGTGCATACTGAGAAGCTGGGGAGACGGGCTTCCCTCTGGCTTGCGGGCTCTGTCACTCCCAGAATGGGCTGCAGCTTAGGACATCAGCCCTGCCCTCCTGAGGGGTGGGAGGAGGCACCCCACGAGGCATTCCCAGCCCTGCCCTCCTGTGGGTGGGAGGAGGCACCCCACGAGGCATTCCCAGCCCTGGGAAGGCACATCCACGCTCTCCACCCTCCTGCCACCCCAGAGGAGGAGAAGACTGCATCAGCGCCTGCTGCTGCTACCCTCCTGGCTGCACAATTACGCCTCTCCAAAACACGAGTGCAAAGGGCGTCTAGGGGATGCAGAGAAGGAGAGGGGTGCTCAGCCTCCTTAAGTAAACCAGTCCAGGTCACACACAGTTCTTCTGAGACTCCAGCATTCTCCGGGCCTCAGTGTGGCATTTGTGGCCCTTATAAAAGTCTTCACCCCTTTGAGGCCCAGTTCCTTTCAGATGTTACTTTTTTTCCTGTTTCCTTTCTTTCCAGCCGTGGGGGTTGGGGTCGAAGGTGGAGTTTGTTTGCTATTTTGCACAACTGACCTGCCTGCTTGCGTCATCTGAACGCCAAGTTCTGCTCACAGAGGAAGTGAGAGGTGTCCGATTCGGTCATGCAGAACGCAGCTGGGCTGCCCCGCGGGAGAGGCACTCAGCTGCGCCGAGGGAGGTGTCACCGTGCCCGGTCCCGGCTGAGTCACCGCAGATGCAGCTCCTGCGTCGACAGGGCCATGCCATTGCCCGCGGAGCTGGGGCACTCACTCGGGTCATGTCTGCACCCTCCTGGAGCCCACATTCAAAGGGAAAGGGAAGGAGACGGGAAGAGAGAAATGAAGCACAAAGCAGGACCGTGTGCAGCGCCAGTGCTCACGCGCCTGGGTCGTCTGGACCTTGCTCACTAATCTAGGCTGTGGGGTCCAAAGAGCTGCAGCTGGGGGGCCCTCTTTAATAAAAAGAATACAGAAGCATGAAAACAATATTAAGCACAACAGTGAATATTTATTTAGAAGCTGGGGAGGGAAATCACAGCAAATTGCAGACACCTCGCAGTTTTGGATCTCTGTTCAGTGACATCTGTAAGCAGTTTACCAGAGATGCCAAGCGCCGCTTCCTGTTCGTAACCTGGCCTCCCTCCTGGCGTAGCCTGTGCCCCCTGCCGTCTCCATGCCTGGCAGCCCTGTCTGGGAGCCGTCTTTTCAGCATCGGGGGGTCAGGGTGCCACTGATCGGCTGCATCCTGAAAGCGGTGGACTGGCGGGTGTCACCGGGCAGATGCTCCTGACCCCTTTTTAGCTCTCGTCCCTTCTAAGAATTGAATGACAGTTTATGGAACTCATCTTGAAAAAATGTATAGATACTCAAGGCCTCTAAAGTTTACACTCAGTCCCTTAGACACCCCTGTACCTGCCTGGGGACCCCAGGTAGGGAACTCCTTTTTTTTTTTTGTGGTACCAGAATTGAACTCAGGACCTTGCATTTGCCAGGGAGACACTTGTGCCGCTGAGCTATGTCCCCGGCAGGAATTCCTTACCTACTACATTCCTCTCATTTCATTCCACACATGAAGCAAGGGACTTGCTCAAGGTCACCCAAGGGGAGGGACTTGCTCAGAGTGACCCAATCATCTGGGATCTAGCCAAAGATTCCCCCTCCTTCTCCAGGCTGGTAGCCCTTCTTTTGTGCCAGAATGACATCTACGAGGAAAGAGACCCCAAGTTATGGTCCCTCAGAGGGTTTTCTTGTGTTCTCTGTTCTTGTTCCCAGACAGTTTGCTTAATGTAGCTCAGAAGGGGCAGAAATGGTGACATTTAAACCTAAATACAGACAGAGTAAAAGACCTCTGCAGAGTCTGAGTATAAATACATTGAGAAATGCAAAGCAGATAGAGAAAGGGAAGAAGGGGAGACAGTAGGCAAATTACACGCAAAATCTCAGAAAACATGGGGCTGCCCTTTCTGGTACCTGGAGCCCTGAGCCCGGGGGAAACCCCATTAACAGTCCCATCGAGTGGTCCCCCGCAGCCCCACCCTCTCCCCTCCTGCCCAGCGTGGGCGTCGAGTCTTCTTGGTGCCCCAGGCTGCGTGTAGCTTCCTCAGCCTGCGCAGCACCCGCTCCCAAGGCTGCGCAGCTGCCTGCGCGCCCCAACTTGGATCTGCGGGCACCTCCTCGCTCAGCGCCTGGCTCTTTCGCAGCGACAGAGTCACTCTTGGTTTTTGATTGACTAGTTTTGGGGCTATGCGCCCCTGCTGGACAGAAAGCGCTGTGTGAGCAGGGTCTGAGTCCTTGGTGCCTTTGGTGGACTCCCATAATCGCTCGCTGATTTAAATGAATGGTGGCATCTGGTGGTCTGGACTGAGACGCCTGGGACAAATGCCTGCTGGTCAGCTCCGTCCTGAAACGCTGGCCAGCCCGGCATGCAGCTGGGCGCTTGTGTAAGCCTCCAGGGGGTGAAGGGAAGGAGAGGGGTGCCCAGCCCCTCGGAGTTAGGACTCCACTCAGCAGACACAGAGCTCCACACCATGCAGTTCTCTATGGCTCGAGAGGTTCCACCCTTTCCTAAGAGTCCAAGCTGTGAAGGACCCCAGCCCCCTGGTAGCAGGTCCACCACTACCGTGCTAGCAGCTGTCAGCCACGGTCAGGAGCAATGGCTCACGGGTGTCCCCTAAAGGTCACACTCACTGGATAATTAAGAAACCCAGAGACAGCTCCCTCTCCTGCCTTCCCTCCGCTCACCTCCAGATAATGCAGTGTCTCAAGAGAACAGGCTCTTCTTCATACCCAAGTATTTTTTATTTCATTCCATTTAGTTTGCAGTACAGTGTAGCTTTTTCTTTTCAACCTGACACCCACGACTTCATGACTGATGCTGTGTGTGACTGTCTGCTAAGAGCCAGGGAGCCCTGATCAATTGTTCTTCCTCCTTCCCCTTGTTTGTCTCAGTATTGGGCTGGCAGGGGGATAAAGACACTCTGAGCTATGCCCTGTTTTCCTCCTCAGCTTGGCTCGCTGCCTGGGGAGCAGGGGTGGTAGGTGGAGAGCTACCACCTGCTGGGGACCAGACTCCCCCTTCGAGGTCAGCTGCTTTCTCTTCCTTCCCTTCTCTCCAGCAGTGGGGGGTCGAGTCTGACCACAGACACCCAGGGCCCCAGGTGAACTCCCCTCAGCAGGTGGGTGCCGGCTCCCATCTGCTGCTTGCTTCCTCTTCAACATCCTCAGGCAGAGCAGCCTCCTTCCTTCCTCAGATGAAATAATCAGGATGAACTGTTTTGCCTCTTAACAGACACCAGGTACTTAGTTTTCTTGCACCAATCACCTTTTCAGGCAGATGAGAAATGAGCCATGATAGGGCACCGGGGGTGGAAGAGAGCTGATTGCTGCCGAAGGGCTGGGGGGCACTGCCTGTGTCTCATCCTCCAGGCCAGTCACTCACGAGTGGCTTTCGGCAAAGCCGCATAGCCTCAGTGGATGTGAGCCATCCTCCAGGCCAGGCTGACTGGTCTCTGAGCAGCCTCCCTCCCTGCCTTACTCAGCTGATGACTCTGCCTTACATCACTGCGTCGTGGCTTTCACACTCTCTCTGTTCCAGAAAAGGCTTGCTCTGTCATAGCTTCCCTCCTCCCAAGGCCAGTGCATCAAAAGAGAGTCACCGCCCTGCAAACATGTTGTGCTGTCAGGTGAGCGGCAGGCGGCACACATCGGAGTGAGTGGGACTGGCAGGAAAATGGCAAGAAGGTGCCTATGCAGAAAGAAATAGTTGGTCCTTATCACAGTGCTAGCCCCGGACTTCATCGCAGCAGGGCTCTGTACCGTTATGTAAAATGAATTACTCAGTGCCCCAGATTCCCCGGGGTGTGAGATTCGGCGTGCAGGGTGGTCCCCACGCAGCCTCTGGTGCTCGCTGCCCAGCTGCAACCCTGGCTCTGCCGCACACCAGCTGTTGAAGCTTCCATGTGCTGTTGAACTGGCTGTGTCCTTATTTCTGCACCTGTAAAGTGGGAATGACAGCGGTAACAATCATGTGTAAAACAGTTAAAATGCTGCCTAGCACACAGGCCTAGTAAGCAGCATATCAGTGTTTGCTGTTAAGACTAGAAAGGTAGTCACCCCAAGGAATTGAATATTACCTTTAAGCAGGAGCTGTGAATGTCCTTATCTTGCGGGCATCAACCCCCCTCACACACACAACCCCTCAAGCTCCTCTCCTACCTGTGGAACCCTCCACGGCAGAGGTTAGCAAGCTTTTTCTGTCAAAGGTCAAAGAGTAAATATTTCAGACTGTACAGGTCACATAGTTTCTGTCACAACTCCCCAGCTTTGCCATTGTGGTGTGAAAGCAGCCATAGATAATATGTAAACAGGAGAGGGAGGCTGTGTTCTAATAAAGCTTTATTTATAAAAACAGAGGGTGGGTGTAGTACTTTCCCATCACTGGAACAGAACACCCTAAACCTGCAATTTAAAAGAGGAGGCGTTTAATGGCTCACAGTTTCCAGGGGACTCAGTCCATGGTCAAGGTTCCAGTGCAGAAGCAGTGTGATGGGAAGGCCTGGTGAAGAACAGCTGTTCATCCATGACAACCAAGAAGCAGAGAGAGAAGGGCGGACCCAGGACCAAGAACACACCCTTCCAGGTCACTCATATTACCAATACAATATTCTATCACAATTCATTTTACAAAAACTGTGCTTCAACCCTGCCTCTTCTAGAAGCTTCCCAGATTCCTGCTGTGAAACTTCTCTTTCCTCTCTCTGGACTTGAAAGCACTGGGCTTAGAAGGAGCTTAGTGCCTGGGAAGAAACTGGGTTTAAGCTCTGGACCTGCTGAATGACACGAGTAAAGTACTTAAGATGTCTGGAGCCTCCCTTTACCTGTCTGCAAAACACAGGTATAAAATTTCTTGCCTTGCTAACCTTTTAGGGCAGGTTGAAAATCAAATAGACACATGGATGTAACTTGCAAACTTGAAAGCACTAGACACGTGAAGACTTAAAGTAGATCTTCCCAGGATTCCTAGCGACTAGAATGGTGCCTGGCACTTTGTCAGTGTTGACAGAACCAAACTCTAGAGCTTGTATGAAGTACAGAATTTTGTTTCACACATAGTAGAGCAAGTCTATATGTGTATTGATCTCCTAAGAGGTCAACGGAGAACTCAAGATACACCATGCCTAAAGAGAGACAGGACAACATTTGCTGAGGCAGATTCCGCAGAATTCTTGTCTACTAGAAATGTAGGTCAGGCTACAATGAATCTGGATTGCTGTGACAGGAGTCAGGTGGCTCGTCATAAATGGCTAGAAGTTTGGATTTGTGCCTGAGACTGATGTAAAAATAATCACAAACACAGTGGCTTAAACCAATAGCAATGTGTTCTCTCACAGTTCTAGGGGTCAGAAGTCTGAAAAGAAGGTGTTGGCAGGGCTCTGTTTCTTCCAAAGGCTCCAGGGAAGGATCTGTTTCTTGCTTCCTCTAGCTGCTGGTGATTCTTGGCATTTCTTGACTCATAGCCACATCCACCAGTCTCTGTCTCCATCCTGACATCATCTTCTACTCTTCTCTGTGTCTTTTCCTCTTTTGTCTCTTACAGGGACACTTATTTGATTTCAGGCCCATCTGGGTAATAGGGGATGATCTTGTCTCAGATCTTTATCGTAATTATATTTGCAAAGCCCCATTTTCCTAAGTTCCAAGGATCTGAACATGCACATATTGTACAGGTATCACTCTTCAACCCATTACAGTATCGTATTATTTTCACTTTACTTCCTAGCTACAATATTTCTTGTGCCACTGAACAGTCTTCAGAACGCTATCTTTGATAGCTAATTATGTTCCATATTGTGGCTATGTTATAATAAACTGAATTCCTTTTCTTCTTGTTAGATGTTTAGATCTCATGACTTCCCACTCGTATATTAAGGATAACTTGCATAGGTTTTGGAGTCAGGTATTCTGAGAAGAAATTCTGGCTCTGACATTTATTAGGGAGATGATCATAGTTAGGCTTAATAAACCTCATGCCCAGACTGTGAGCCAAATAAGCCTCAGTTTTCTCATTTGTAAAGTGAAGACCATAATGCTTATCTCATACAGTGACTCAGGGGATCGGATCAAAGAACATATGTAAAGTGACCAGTGGCAGAGCAATGGGCACTTTTACATGTGTAAAGTGCTTAGTAAATTGCAGCCATTCTAGTTTTATTTATCTCCATGCCATCTCAGCTAATTTCCTCGGATGGATCTGTAGACGTGCTCTTCCCAAATCAAGGTGTATAGTTTCAAGGTTCTTGATTTGTACTGCCAAGTTGTGTTCCATAAAAGGATAGGTGGAGACACTCAACCTTGACCAATCCCACTTAGTAACTACTATCAGCCACCTCTGGCAGCCACCTTCACCAATGGACAAGGATTTCATGAGTTATGGAACCAGGACTAGGCTTCAAAAAGGCCTGGACTTTACTTGAGGCAACCAACTCACATGCATAATATAAGATCAAAAAATGGAGTTCACTAAATCAGCAAATGTTTCTTGAACACCTACTATGTACTGGCTACTGTACTAAATGATGGATCTCATTCAATAGCAAACAGACAGAAATGGTCTTTGTCCTCATGCAGCTTATAATCTTGGGTCAGAGGGCTGGGGATGTAGCTCAGCAGCATAAGCACTTGTCAGGCAAGCCTGAGGTCATGAGTTCGATTTCTGGTACAAAAAAAAAATCTTGGGTCACGATTAAGTTGCAGCACTTTATTTCTCCAGTGGAGTTCAGTGGAAGTCGTGACCCACAGAGAACAGGTAGATGAGGGGAACTGAAAAGGAAAGAGGACCCAGAAATGGAACTGTAAAAGGAGTGAGGACTGTGCGTGGGTGCACACGGAGGTTTGCAGCTCAGTCTCAGGTGGCTTATGAAGGGCAGGAAAGGGAGTTTCCTGGGAGGCTCCACCACAGAAGGCCAGGACAGGCCTGATCACTGGCCTGGAAGAGGAAGTCATATTTGTTTTGCTTTAGAAAACCAGAGGCTTGTAGCCTTTCCTGAGCAAGAAAGGCCAATGAAAGGCACGTAGGAAGAGTGGACAGGGCTGGGTGGGCCACAGCTGGTGTCAGAATACCAGCTGGGCTTTGGTCCTGCAGTGCTTGAAGCTACAGACCTTGTATGACAGCATGGCTTGGTGGCCAAGTTTATGCTACATGGCACTTAGAGTCCCAGGCTCCTGTCCTGTCTCCCTCATGCCCAATATAGCCCTCAGCAAGCTCTGAGCTCCCTTGAGAGGTTTCTATTGCTTTCTAGCGTCCTGGGGGTGATCAGATTCTAGTTGTTTTGGTCCTGAGATTGTTAACCTGGTGTTTTGCTATTAGCTTTCTGGGTCATACGTGTCCCCAGACCAGTGACTCTTCCAGAAATTTCTTCTGTTTCCCTGTACTGTATTCCTCAAGGAATGGTGAGTATCTAATGATTAACCAGCTCTGTGCCCCCTTGGGTGATTCATACGTTACTCTGGGTGCAGAGGAAGGGGAACATGCTCCGCACCCCGGCATGTTCCCATCAGTGGTGGCAAGAATTAGAGCGAGGGAAGCAGAGGACGCCAAAGGACTAAGGAGAGATCCCATGTGCGCGGAGACCTCCTCTTCCATGCTAACCTGAAACTAGTCCCAGGTACGGTCGGCAGAAGTGAGCCGGTAGCTCATTAGAGTCCTCGTGGGCCATAGACAGAGCCACTTCCTGATTTCCTCCATTCCTGAGCATTGGACCCATAGTGAACCTACCAAGACACTGATAGTTGTCTTGTAGAGGGACAGGACAAACCCACTGAGGCCACCACACGGTGCCCCACAGTCTGGGCTTTAGGGCTTCCCTGCAGTGAGGAAGGCACCTCCCATCAATCCTAAGCGGAAGGGCCCAGATGAATCAGAGTTGAAGAAGAGCTTGTGATCCCCCTAGAGTACAGAGAGGGACAGGGATGTGCAAGGCCACTGCCAGGGGCCAAGGTCAGAGCAGCCTCAGCATGCAGACCTCCAGAGTCCTCACTGCTTTGTCAGCCTTCTGAAAGTTGATCTGTCCTGAAGGTGATTTTCACCATTGCAGTTATAACAGAGCACATCCCACTTTTATCTAAAACTAGCACAATTTCCAAATAGGTCAAAAAAAAAAAAAATCAGTGGATCCACTTAAATCTCAAACAGAAATAATTCAGGCTGGGTGTGATGGCAAACACCTGTAATCCAAGTACTCAAGAGGCTGATGAAGGAGGATCATGAATTCAAGATCGGCCTCGGCATCTTAATAAGACCCTGTCTGGATAGTAAATATAAATTAATAAAATGAAATGGATTCATCAGTATGTAACAAAAGCTCAGACTGAACTAAGAGTTGTAGATACAACTTTGGGCAAGACAAACCGGGCACCTTCTCTCCCTGAGCTCACGTTAGGAGGTGGTAGATGTAGGGCACAGGGAGAGGGGAGGACAAACATAAAACAGTTCACAGAAAATTGCACCAGTAATTATCATAAGACAGCCAAGGAAAACGAGGCAAATATATATATATATATATATATATATATATATATATATATATATTGGACAGCCCCTTTACCTAATAGAGCTGGGAAAACTGGGCATCCATATGTAGATTAAAATTAGATCCCTGTCTGTCAACCTGAACAAAAAATCACTTCCCAATAGATCGAAGACCTAGGTACAAGGCCTGAAACTTTGAAACTGCCAGAAGAAAACATAGCAGTAACACTTGAAGCCAAAGGTACAGGCAAAGACTTCCTCAACGGAACTCTACCAGTACAGGAAATAATAGCAAGAATCAACAAATAGGAGTGCATCTAGTTAAAATGCTCACATAGCAAAAGAAACAATCAACAGAATGACAAGACACCCTGCACAACAGGAGAAAATCTTTATCAGCTACTCTTGTGACTGAGGATGAATATCCAGAGTATATAAAGTGCTCAAAAACCTCAACACCAAACCAA